CTGACATAACCTTAATTACATTGGCTTCAGCAAAATACTGTGATTAAAACTTGTTTATTTTGCACAGGAGTATGTATGTGTCTCTGCAAGTAATTTTATTGTTGAGAAAACTAATGGGGAAGCAATGTGGCAATGGATAATATGCTTCTGTGTGTATGCTTTACTTTCTTGCTGCAACACTCTAGATAGAGGTTTTCAGTGTCAAAGAATTTATTTTTTCCACATGAAGAACATATATACATTAATACGTAAATGCATCCGTCATGCTGTTTCCTTTTGGGGTAAACAACATAATTCATAGTAAGCCAAACTATTAAAAGTTTGAGATAAGAAAAAGAAACAGCTGAAACTAGTTTACACCAGTACTTTTCCATACCTTTATTTCCTTACAAACCATCACTGTTTCCATCATATTGATGTACCGTTTCATTTTGTTCCTTAGGCTTTCTACCTGTGTTGTAGGATCTTATCAACTCCATTCAACCACACTTTCTTGGTCTACCCTTCCTCTCAACCTACTCCCTTTTCCTTCAGTATTGATTGTACTATTTGATCTTCACTCATTTTTCTATATGAACAAGCCATCTCAATGTACTTTTTTTTTGGTACAGTTTTTTTGGTATTCATTCCACATTAATTTATTATCCATTCAGTCTTGACCATATCTCTTCTTATTTTACCATGCACACACTTAAATACCTCATTGTAACTGCATTCAACACTTATTAATTTCCAATTCTCAACACTTATTAATCTCCAATTCTCACTTCCATATTACAGAGTAGTCAGAAGCACACTCTTATACATAGCCATTTTCACTTATTTCCCCTTACATTAATTCCTTCCAAAAGACCACATGCTGTTTGCTACTTTTCTACCAGCATTTCTCATTCTGTTTTCCCATCTTTAGATACACAACTTCATCTGTTTGCTCTAGGGTTGGATTTTTTTTTTTTGGCTGCATAGCTTGTAAATAAATAAAATAAATAAATAAATAAAATAAATAAAATACAGTGGAACCTTGGTTCACGAACTTAATTTGTTCTGCGACTCTGGTCGCGACCCGAATTGGTTGCGACCCGAAGCAAATTTTCCCATAAGGTTCAATGTAATTACACCAGAGTCGCAGAACAAATTAAGTTCGTGAACCAAGGTTCCACTGTATTACATTGAACCTTATGGGAAAATTTGCTTCGGGTCGCAACCAATTCGGGTCGCGACCAGAGTCGCAGAACAAATTAAGTTCGTGAACCAAGGTTCCACTGTATTACATTGAACCTTATGGGAAAATTTGCTTCGGGTCGCAACCAATTCGGGTCGCGACCAGAGTCGCAGAACAAATTAAGTTCGTGAACCAAGGTTCCACTGTATTACATTGAACCTTATGGGAAAATTTGCTTCGGGTCGCAACCAATTCGGGTCGCGACCAGAGTCGCAGAACAAATTAAGTTCGTGAACCAAGGTTCCACTGTATTACATTGAACCTTATGGGAAAATTTGCTTCGGGTCGCAACCAATTCGGGTCGCGACCAGAGTCGCAGAACAAATTAAGTTCGTGAACCAAGGTTCCACTGTATTACATTGAACCTTATGGGAAAATTTGCTTCGGGTCGCAACCAATTCGGGTCGCGACCAGAGTCGCAGAACAAATTAAGTTCGTGAACCAAGGTTCCACTGTATTACATTGAACCTTATGGGAAAATTTGCTTCGGGTCGCAACCAATTCGGGTCGCGACCAGAGTCGCAGAACAAATTAAGTTCGTGAACCAAGGTTCCACTGTATTTTTAATTGTATTGTTTTCATTGTTCATTTGTGTTCATTTTGGTGTTTGGATTTTTAGGGGAGGTGTATACATTAAGATTACACTAAAAGGAGGTGTGATGGCAAAAAAGTTTAGGAAGCCCTGCTCTATAAACAATTGACATCCAGATGTGGCAATATGAGTGTTATTAGCATACTTATTGTTATTCACCCTGATCCAGTGGATAGCCTCTCCCAGACGTTTCATACATTTGTTAAATAGCATAGGACATAGGATGAAGGCCTGTGGCACTTTACTTTAAAGATGCTGGGGACTTGATAAGTCAACCCAACTACCAACTGGAGGTACCCTTTTAGGTAAGCGTAAAACCATCATAAAACATTCCCCCTACTCCCAACCATTCTAGGCAACCCAATAGGATACCATGGTTGATGGTATCCGACACCAACCAAGTGATCCAGTAGGATGAGGAGAGATCCACTCTCCCATCCCAGTCCTGACATCTACTAGGTCAAGCCATGCTGTTTCTTTCCCATGCCTTCACCCAGACTCCAAGCGTTCCAGATAACCTGCTTCCTCTAAGATCCTTTGTAGCTGTCAGTCAGTTTATTTAAAACAGTCTGCATACCATAACAATTTAAGTGATTCACCATCACCTTCTCAATATTGTTCTCCAAGAAGATAAAATTTGAGACAGGGCCAAAAAGTCAAATATGGCTAAACCGAGTGATGGTACTAGGTATTTAATTTCTTATAAAATTGAAATATGAATATAAGAAAACCGAAATGTAGGATGTGGTATAAAACCACATAGTGATTTATTGTCCAAGAATGGTTTCCTGTTAGAGTTATACATTGGATTTCTTTTTACATATGAAATTACTTTAGACATCGAAACATAGTCCCCCAACTTGATTAGCCATTCTTCCAAGGAAGGGATTGAACACCCTTTCCAATAAGAACCCATAGTTAACATACACAGCTAATTCAGTATATTTTGAAGGAATGTATGAATATGAGCAACTTTATCCACAAGGAAATCAACAGACTCATCTGGATAACCAGTAGTCATCTGTAGTTTGTCTTGCCCATCCTTCCCCAAAAGATTCCAGGTCACCCTGAACAGGTCCATTTGTTGGGAATTCACAGGGACTATTAAGCTCAGAGAAGTGTTACATTTTGCTTCTCTTATCACCACTGAATAGGCTTATGCCAGAGTTCAGTTGCATTCATTTTTGGTTTTTTGCCAGCATTACTCTAGGCATCTTTTCAGACACTTAATTTTCATTTCCTGCAATTCCTTGGGAAACGAGGGAGCTGCTTGGAATCAGTGGCTGTAGAGATGTGGCACTGGGGAATCTTATCTAGCATGCTGATTGTTTGCATATTTTAGAGATCAATCAACTGTGAGACAAAGTTGCCTCTGATTTTTTCAGGAAAATCCCCAAGTACCCTCTGGGGGATTCTCTGGTTCCATCAGGTGCCTAAGGTAGATCATTGTCTCTGTCCTTGCAGAGACCCAGGGAAGTACAAGCAACAGTTTGACTAGGAAGTGGTCTGACCATGGCAAAGGACAGATGTTAATGTCCTCCATATCCCATTCATATCTCATCTGCTCCAAAGTAAGGACGAAATCAACGTGTGCTCTCCTATGTGTGTTAAAACTACAGTGACTTGCAATAAGCCCATGGTGGCCAGGAACTCACAAGCCACTCTGGAATCCTTTCCTAGGACAAGATAGTTAAAATTATCCAAGAACATATGTCTTGGGACTAATTAGTACCACAGTGAAACATTTGGATCCAAAAGCAGTGCTTTTCTCAGTATAATTAAAGGGTAAAGTCACTTTCAACTTGAGCTTGACTTGGTTATGTCCATATAGTTTTCTTGGTGTTCTTCCAGGATTTTTTTTTTTAACTTTTCAATTTAGTTTATAACTCTCTTCAGGAGGGTTATATAGGGTATAGCCAAAAGAGTCAAGACAGTGGCCACAATGATGTAATCGAAGCTCTACCTGTTTTTATGTGTGTGGACCTGATATTTCCAAATGTATCCCATCAAAATACTAACCAAGATTAACCCTGCTTACCTTTTGGAAATCAGTCAACAATGTGTATTCCATAAAAACATATCCAGAGTTCATAACTTCTTTTGTTGTAGGTCAGTTGAGAAGACTAGAAAAACATTCTAAAGAAAGAAAAAAAGAACCAAAATAAACATATGACCATTACATAAGTTTATTGGAAAAGTTCTATAAAGGTTTGTCAATCCGGCATTCCTTTTCACAGAGTGAGCCAAATGCATGGAAGAGATCTGCATGCAGACCATAAAGGCAATAGCTCTGTGGCTGCCTCTGATGCTTGAAGAAACATCACAAGTAGTTATGGTTAGCATAACTTCACCAAGAATTATTATTTTTCTCTTTTACAGTCATCTAAATTGGAGCCACTATGTGCTGTGGGAAAGATTTCCTTATATGGGTCCTGAATCTTCTCTTAGCTTCTGTAGTCATGAGAAAGGGGAAAATGTTGCTAGCTAGTTTTTCATATCATTTGCAACTTTATCACATCCCATTTCCTTATAATTTTGTGTTCTTTCTTCTTAGGGAATTAATATTACCACTTGATCAATTGTCAACACCTTTCCCTATTTTTCTAACTATCATTTCTGAAGTGAAGTAACCAGTAGTTAATATTTCAAATGTGGCTGCACAATGTGCTTGCATAAAAGTACTATGATTCCTTTTCCTAATGGCATCTCTCCCTGTCTCTCTCTCTCTGTGTCTTTCTCTCTCTCTCTCTCTCACACACACACACTTTATGTACATGGTAGTATGCATGCTACTATTGTTGGCAACAGTTTTCCTCTGTGACATCACTTCCAGTAATAAAATATAAATCTAAGCACTATAAAAAGTTATGGTTTGTTTAATTACAAGGAGGGCATTAGTTTTTTATTAAAGAAATTGAAAGTTAAACACTACGATTGTTCAAAAGAATAACATTCCACAGAGCTTTTTAAAAAAAGATGTATTGGATAGACAGTAATAAAAGATGTATTTCTTTCCTTCAGTAATGCAGAATAATGTTCTGCAATTCTCTATAAATTGAAAGAGGATAACAGAGGGCTGTGTCCAGAGAAAAGCCTGCAGAAATGAGTGGAAGGAAGGTGACTGTGTCCTATCCTCTGTCTGGTGGCCCGTTCAGTCTTCCCAATAGTCTCCTAAAAAGTGCGATCATGGCAAATGAACTAAGCTATGGCAAAAGAGGAAAGAGGGTTTTCCTCAAGCTGAAAGTATAGTAGAAAAATGGACTTGATAAACCAATTACAACATTAAAAATAATTTAGTAAATCTTACAGCAAGAATCTCTATGTGTGTGCTATAATCCAGACTGTAAAACACAAGCTGACGTTGGAGCATATGTTACCAAGCTCAGTGGGATTGTTTCATTTCCCACCTCTGCTTTTTCTTGGCAGCAGTTTGTCTCGATGGCACCACATTTCATCTCTCTCACTGCTAAAGATATATTTCAGTTCAAAATCCCAAGACAACAAACCTTCAGCCTTTGGGATTGTCCAGATGTGATTCAGGTCCAGCTGTGAAATTAACATGCAGAACAAGCACTGATAGTATCACAGTTTTAATACAGTGGCTGAATTGCACATCTAGTGTCTTCTGTTTGCATTAGTTGTATTTGCAAAATTTACTTCTACTGAAAGTGCTGTGGTTAGGAGAATATGCTAATTGTGGACTTGCCGAAATATTACAGTGTTAGTTTTCTGTGCTTGGAATTGCCTATTTTACATTGTTAGAAGCAGGGGAAGACAGCCAAGGTTTTGTATAATATTTCTTTTTTAAAAATATTTTAATTCTGTCTTAAATCTTTAATTTTTCAAAATCCCATATTTATTATTGTGTAAGCACCTATGTAGGGACATACTAAAACAGGAAGGCTGTTGGAAGGTCTTTAAAGATATAGGGTAATAATTCTTTGAACTTCTGGTTCCATGGACACTGTTCATGGCCTCAGGACCTAGGAAGTCCTGACTATAGAAGTTTCTTGTCACTGACATTAAATAAAAGACATTTACATTCAACACCTGCTTAAACATGTCCTTAGTAATACATGTTGGATAGATATTGTTTGAAAATATACATATGTAAATGTACTTTTACATTTTACAGTACGTTCATACCCAAGATGGGAATCTTGAGGTCTAGAGTCAAAACAATCTGCAGTCAATTTTCCTCCCAAGGAAAGCAGAGGATTTCTCTGTTGTTTCAACTGTTTGCCAAATGCATGAGTCTATGCTTTGGAAATCAAGATAGGGCTGGAATAGACAGGTAAAGATCCTAATGATCTGGTGCTATGTAATTATATCTGAAAGCTAGACCATTGGGAGTCTCCAAACAAGAAGTAATGAACTATGTGGTCTTTTTGAAGTGATAATAGTGGAAAGGAGTTGGACATCTCATCTTTTGAAAATTCTATCACTGCATGTTGTATGCTAAGCAAATACAGCATAAATACATTTCCTAGTTTGTATAAGTTGGGTGAGAATAATGTTTTATTCCATCCTAGTGGTATTACTTTGACTTCAACTAAGGCAAAAGTTGTTCGTATAGATTATTACTCTTAATGTTCCTGAAGTTGGAGAGGCTTAGTCCCTATTCTGCTCTTAATTTCAAAATCCTCCACCTCCAGCAGTGAGTTTACCATAAGATACAAAAGACACATTTAACAGTGCTATTGAGCAGTAATAATGTTGAAGTAGACAATGGTTTCCCTCCATAAAATTGTTCATATTTGGAGTAGAACGGCACCTCAGTAGAAAGGAAGCAAAGGCCTCTCACATCAGTTTTATCTTTCAGATGGTATGTGGCACAGATACTATCTAAAAACATAGTTGGAGGATAAAACTCTATTGGATCTAAGTAACTCAGCTAAACTCAGTGGGACAAGTTAATCATCACAACTTGCATCTTGCTGAGATAAATGGAAACTAATTTCAACAAGCTTCATTGGTTTAATCCAATAAATGTGAGGCATTATTGTATTAAATGGGACTTTTGTGTACTAATCATGAACAGAATTTTAAAATGAAAACTACACAAAGAAAGAACTTATTGGCTTATATGAAGAAATATTACTGCATTAAGTTAAAATGCTTCACTGTGATTGGTAGCAATTTATTGAAATCATTAAAATCCACTGGCATGTTGTCTATTTCTTTTATACAACGAGGTTTCTGTAACCAGAGAATAATCTATGTGGCCTGCAGGCTGTCTATGTGTGTACATCCATAGGCCATGAATGAAACTATTGTTGGGAGTTCTAAATATTACCAGTGCTATGCCAGTAAAGTTTGCAGGTTTCTGCCTTATTAGCAACAATAACTGGCAAATAGCCATCAGGTTTTTGTAGTTGTTTTAATTTGTTGACTTGTTTTGTTTCGTGCTGGGTAGCCCAGAATAGCTTTTCAGTGTAGAAGGGACCTGCTTATCTTCTTTTGATAGTCTTGCTGACTACAGCTCACACAGAAGTTGCATTTATCAGAGTTTAGAATTTAGCCACTTAATTCTATACTTGTCCCAAAATCACCAAAGCAGGAAAATCCTTAAATACTTAATGAGATCAGCGTTGGGAGCATAAAAATCTAAACATAAGCTGAATGCTGCTGTTTGTCTGTCTGGTGTTTACAAAGTAATTGCCATAAGTAAACAATTGTATCTTTGCTTTAATGAGATTGTAGAGGTTGTCCATAAAGAATGTCAGCTATGCATGCTTTCAGTATGTCTCACTGAGGAAACAGGTTGTGGAAAAGCAAGATATTTGAAGGTGATGTAAAGGAAGGGTTACTCCTCCAGTGTGCCAACTCATCACCACTTACTGTCTATTAAGCAGGTATTTGCATTTGTTTTAAACCTCTCAAAACACCTGTAATCACTAGTGACAGTGCAACCAAAGAAATCTGTGTAGATAAGTGAGATCACTTATATTGTGTGACAGCCTTTCAGCCCTATTATCTATCTTAAGTTCAAAGATTCTTCCAGTTTAAAGATCTCATTTAAAATGTAATCGATGAGTCCTTCAGTTCAGTTGGACGGGAAAGGGAGAGACAACTCCCATTCACATTTATTTGTCAGTGGACAGTCACTGGAATGCATCAGAGCAAGGATGAAAAAAGAAAGTCCTGTTGAATCAGTAATTCCTGCATCACATAGATCAAATGATGACACAGTATTGAATGACTTGTACTAATGCATGAACATAACCACTTAAATTCATTATATTTGAGGGAGTATTAAGTGATATGAAAACTCTTCCTGATTGTGATGGCTCATTCATAGACGTACACATTATCACAAAGCTTCATCACAACGGTCTGGTTATCAAGTGATGCATGTGCCTATGTGGACCATCTTTTAGTGAGCTTGCTGCCTTATGACTTTATCATCTAAATGTCAGTATGTTCATATATCTGCATAATATGTAGTTCTGATGAAAATCTCTAAAACCCAAGATGCATAATCTTCTTGTTAGCATATAAAATAATAAGTTGTTTAATTTTTTTCTTAGTAGGAGCTAAATAAAAAAAGCTGTTTAAACAATTGAGCTGCATCTGGGGGAATGGTTTTGTAATGATCTCACAAAACAGTAAACCAGGACATAAAATTTCAGTTACACTTTGTAATCAGACTGTTAGGTTTTGTAAATGTTGACTTACCTGCAGAAATATGAGTCTGAATGAAAGTGGCATGTGTAAGTAACTGATGGTGCAGGAAAAGGGAAAAAAAAGATTATTAATGTAATGCTTGTGTTGATTACAGTTTAATCTGTCTTTTCATTTTCTAGGCTTTCAGAACAAAAGATGGATATATTGTGGTAGGAGCAGGAAATGATCAACAGTTTGCCACTGTTTGCAAGGTATGGTATTCAGAGAACAAATAAAATAACAGATCTTTAAATAAACTGTTTCTCTGACTTGATAGCAGCTTGTTCAAAAAGAGACAATAGGTCAAATGCAGTGGCTTAAAAGGGACTGTAGTGTGAAGAAATTCTCTGGAAGACATGACATGAAAATCTGGTGGTGTTTATACTTGCATCATTTAGGATTAAAAGTTCACCTGGAAGTCTACCTAAATCCCATCATCTGGAGGAGAAAATGGCTGATGTCAGGTTGATTGGGAACAAGTTATTAACATTTCCAGCACAAAGAATGAATGCCCATCACAAAATCTGCATATGTTAGACAGCTAATCGTGTATTATAAATAGTGATGAAACTATTTACAATACAAACAAGAAACATTGTTTTGGGTCATGTACACTTAGTATGATCAATCTATAGAATCCTACCCAAATGTATGGTACATGAGGACTTACTTATGGGCTTCACTGAAGTGTGCCAGGCCCAAGTGGTTCCCATCATAAGATAAATCCATGGTCCTCCCTTGCAGATCAAAGGGTAAGAATTCATTTTAAAAAGACGACTGCATTTCCTCTTATTTAAGTGTGACTGTAGTCTTGGAATCTTTGGAACTGGGTGGCTGTCTTCTTCTGCAGCATAACACATTCTGAACTCTCCTCTGTTTTGGGAGCACAGTAGAAAGTGAAAGAGCTATTTAGAGTGCATTCTGTGCAATTAACACCTTTAGCTCATTGAGTGCTAGCATTTTTGTTCTAGCATCCTTATTTAGACAAAATGATCAGCCAGGATTTTGAGGAATCCTTGGTTATGGTGAACATGTTTGTGACCTGAGAGTTCCTGCTGGCTCCTGCAAAGTTTTGGGAGCACAGTAGAAAGTGAAAGAGCTATTTAGAGTGCATTCTGTGCAATTAACACCTTTAGCTCATTGAGTGCTAGCATTTTTGTCCTAGCATCCTTATTTAGACAAAATGATCAGCCAGGATTTTGAGGAATCCTTGGTTATGGTGAACATGTTTGTGACCTGAGAGTTCCTGCTGGCTCCTGCAAATGTTATATTAATCAGGAGCAGTTTATTTAGCATTCTGTCATCTTAAGGGGCGCTCTTAGGCTGCTGCTTTCAACCTAGGATTTGCATTTCTTTTTCTCATTACAAATTCTGCTTTGTCTGGAAGCAAGAAAGCAGAATCTGCTCTTTGGTTTATTTAGCAGCTGTCCTAATGGCTATCCAAGTGGCAAATTGACTGCATATACCAATACCGTTTTTCATTTCTTCAGAAACATGGTCTTTTGTTCCATGAAACACTTCTAATGTAGGCTGAAGAGGTTTGTATTAGTAACCTTAGTAGTAACCTTACTAGAATAAAAACTTAATAATTCAAAATTATCAGCACAGTGGCATATCTAATATTGTTATATACACATTTTTAGGATTATTTTGTCTGATTTGTAGAAATGGCTTTGTAAATGCAGAATGAAATGTCATGGTAGAAATATTTGAAATAAATAAATGAATGAAATATAGCTGGGAGTTTGGAATAACCATACATATAAACGTGTTATAAAGAGTGTGGTTTTATTTATTCAAAGAAAATTATGTTTGAGGGTTAGGGTTAGGGTTATCATCCTAATCATCCTCTTACCTTAAAGACCAATGCACAGAACTTTCTCTGGCATTATGTTCCTGAATGTATTTGTCTCGTTTGATTTAGATCCTCAGTTTGCCTGAAATCATTCATGACCCCAAATACAAAAATAACCAGCAGCGAGTAGTAAATAGGAAAGAACTTATTGGAATTTTGTCAGCCAGGTAGGTCCTCAGCATTTAATACTTAAATGTTTATTTTGCAAATTTATTTCCCAGCTTAATCATTCTGGGCTTTCTGCATGTATGTGTATGTGTGTAGGTGAATAATATCATGTAAAGAATGTTTAAGCTTTTTTGACATGGGGTACCATTAATGGCGGAGCAATGTATACTTAATAAAAGCATCAGATATCAAATGTTTCTTCAAAGCAGTGTCCTGGAATTAATCTTGTCTTGAGCAAGATTGCATATAGGCATACTAGGAAAAAAATTAAAATGATAAAAATAGTAAAGGGAAGAAAACAAACAAACAAACAAACAAGAAATAACAAACCTGGGAATGCTTATACACACACAGACACACACAGACAGACACACACATGTAGCCTAAAGGGAAAATATGAATTCCATAATTTTTTCCAAAAGATAGATAAATGGAGATACTCTGTAAGGAAAAGCTTTGTTAAAATGGCTAAGACATAAAAACGTAAATAAAACTATCCTTCATTATATAGTTTCATTTTTCAGCCAGTGCAACTTTCCATCCATTTAAATTACATTAATCCAAAGGAAGAAGTAATTTAACCTTGAAATTTTTGCAGTGGTATATCTGACAAATAACTTTTAAAAAAAGGATTAATTTATTATTATTGCTCCAGTTTGGGGAAGTATGAGCAGTAATCAGTGATTGAATTACTAAAAATTGCTGATTAATTTTTCCAAGTTCATCTAAAAAAATTAACCAAAATGAGTAACTAAATGAAAGTTGCCAGCAAAGATGGCAATATGTACCAATTTGATTATAACCCTTCCAAACCAAGCTGAATAGAGCTGTTCACAACTAGAGCAGCCCATCATTCCAGAAAATAAATAAATCTAAAAAGTTTACATTTAATGTACTTAAATTGTAAATGTAGAGGAGTATAGTACTGTTTATCTTTATGGTCAGTTAATGATGATTTTCTGAAATAGGTGTAAAAGGAACTCAATTACCTCAGGACACTCCAATTAATTTGAGTTCGGATCCAACTCTTCTTTCCAGACCTTTCTAATATCTCATTCATAACACACACACACACACACACACACACACACACACACATGTCTCATTCAGATATATAGATATATATGAAAGTTTTATATTTTTAAGATTGTCTGTGCTTGGCT